AACTTCAGCCTAACTCCACTTTATGTTCAGTAACTCCATGGAAGAAAATGTAGGCCCAGTACCCTACGTGAGGAAATGAGAAACAATTGAATCTGTGAGTTCCTACAAACAATTCTGATGGGTTTTGGGATAAGGACAAGAAAGGGGAAAGTCAAACACTGCAAAGGAAGGAAACATTGTTTTTACTTAGATATACCCTGTTGTGAAAAAACTCTTGGCCTCAGATATGGAGGAGCAGAAAGGACAACCCTGCATTTTTAGTTCTTCTGTGTAGGGGGCCTACAAGGATGCTGGGGAGGGACTCTTTGTTAGGGACGTAGCGATAGCAGAAGGGGTAATGGCTTTAAACTTAAACAGGGGAAGTTTAGGTTAGATATAAGGAAGAAGTTCTTCACAGTGAGGGTGCTGGGGCACTGGAATAGGTTGCCCAAGGAAGTTGTGAATGCTCCATCCCTGGCGGTGTTCAAGGCCAGATTGGACAGAGCCTTGAGCGACATAGTTTAGTGTGTGGTGTCCCTGCTCATGGCAGGGGGTTGGACCTAGATGATCTTAAGGTCCTTTCCAACCCAAACCATTCTGTGATTCTGACTCTGTTCATCCCTTCTCCATTATATTTTAATTATTGTCCCATCATTATACTCCTTGAACTTCTATCTTTAGCTACCTGATAAGGAGTTTAACAACTGAAAAGTTTACAGTATTTCTGTTCTAATGGCAGGTTGTGTCTTCCTTGAGTAGAATGTTGAGGTTCTTATCAACGATCTATTCAAAGATGTTTTCTTAATGCCTTCCTCCCAAATACATCTTGCTGTAAAACTTCAGGTAAACATACTTTCTACAGGGAAATCGTTTAGATTTGTCTTATGTGACTGAAATGATATTGGCAGGATTGAACAGTTGTACAGAGCAAGTCTGCATGTGTTTTGACTCAGGGCAGGACAAAATATGTAATTGTATTTTTATATTGATTATCCTTTGTAGGAGTATATTGTGCTTACAGAAAGCATTGCTGGAAGGTGAGAATAGGTAGTTGAAAAGGCAAAATATAGAAATATAGAAAATAAACACACTCACTTGGTTGTGGCTCTGGTTGGTTGAATCTCATGTGTGATCTGTTAGATAATTTTGCTGCCATGGAAGGCTGTAGTCCAGTTTGTTAAAGCTGAAAATGTTTGACTTAGGTTATGTTTCTGGTGGATGCACCATTGGAAGAGAATCAGGAAAATAATTCCTATTTAAATTCATGTTTTTTCTGCCTCAGGGAGAGATTGACAATATGCCAAACAGCCATTTCTGTTTCCAGATAATGATGAGTGGAGCATCCTCTATGTGCTGTTTCCCAGATTCAAGTCAGCAATGATACACACGTTACAAGCTGGCCTGAACATGTTCCATGGTCCTGCCAGCTTCCATCTCTGTTATTTAGTATTTTAACTTTTGGAGTAAGTCATGCTTTACGGTAAGGTGTAGTTACTCTAGTTGTGAAATGGCAGGTTTCATGGGTTTGCCTCCGTCAGGAGCCTGTGCTTCAACCTTTATTTTCTTCATACAGATCTTTATGAAGGACTTGACATTTCTGCTTCCTTCCTCAAGTTTTGTCTTTGTTAGCAAAGCAGAAATTCATTCTGTCTTGAAAAGTCTACCCAAATGATGGTTGTCGTCTTGAACGTAACAGTGCTGAGTTCACATCTCAGGTGCCTGTCTGAACATGGGTGAATCTATTTCCTTTTCTCCATTGATGAGTCTGTAAAAGTATGGAAATTCCAACAGCTCTGCACAGTTCTTGAGTCTTAAAGTGTTAGGGAAGCCACATGAACTGATGAACATGAACTGATGAACATGAACTGATGAACATGAACTGATGAACAAGTATGTTTTCTAATACTTAGTGTCTTGATAAAGCAAAAATGCTTTTCAGAAGGCTCGTTTTTTAGCCTGACGTTTTTATATGAAGTTTTTACATCATGCAGAAGTATTCTGCACTCGAAAGGATGTATTTTGCATTTAGCTTTGTGTGCAATGAACCTTGGACTTACACAGCCCAAAGTCCAAGTAATGTGTGTCCTATTAAGTGAGGAGCTATTGATTTTAAAATTACTCATTACCATCATATGGAACTCATAGCATTCTGAAAACCTGTCTCTGAAATGGATGCTGTTTGATTTCAGTTTGAGATGGGGCAGAAATGGACTTTTAAGGATTTTACCTGTTGAAATTCAGTGTATCACAGGTAGCAGGGACTGTTGTAGAGTGTGTTGTTTGAGTGTACTCACAGCATCCGTGAAGAAACGCCTCTCGCTTGAGCTCAGACCTCTGCACATGCTTGTAATGTAACGTCGCCTTTATTTGTCACTGGTAGCTATACCCTATACCCATTCTGTTGCTAAGTATTTACAACACCTTCAGGATCAAAGAACTGCTGCCAAGAAGGCTCGTTATGAGAAATTTTGACCTACTTTTACAGTTGGCACCACTTTGCCTGCCAAAACCAGGTAGACTGTGAACAGACCTTCAGTATGTCTTCAGTGAAGAGGTCCAGGCTGATGCTAAGACAACCCTGTCACAGAAAAGCAAATAAAAAGCAATATAGCAAACAGAGGTTAAACTTCTTTTCCCTTCTTCTGCCCCCTTCTCTTGGGGATGCAAAGTGAGTTTGCTGGAAAAGGGGTGGGGAGGCTGCAGGTTTGGTTCACTTCTGTGCACGTGTTTGTTTTCCATCCTTTTCCTGCTAATTCTCATCTCTGCAACACTGGGGGTGTGTGTGTGGAGAATCAGTTTGCTTTCTGTGATTGCTTTAAACAAGTTCAGACTGCTCACACCAGAAGATTATTGCAGGTGCCCTTCTCCTAACATGTAAATGAGGAGAAGTAGCTACACATCTGATGTTTTCAAACCTACATTTTTGCTTTACAGGCTGTGATGGGGTTTTTCTTAAGGTAGTATGTGACTGAAACATATATTATTAAGCTGTATTTGTCAAGTAATGGAGATCGGTTTGTACATGTTGTTACCATAAAGTCATGTTGCACTTCTCCTTCCCTTCCCTTTCTCCTCTCCCTTGCTTGTAAACCACAAAACTTTGTGAAACGTTGGCAATTTAGTATTCCCACTTTCAGTGTCTAAACTGAAGTGTAAACCTGGGTAGTTTATGCAATAGATGTGCAGTACATGAAAAGAAAATCATAGGTGGTTTTCACACTTTTAATCTGAACAATTGTAGACCTCTGCATTAGGAAGAAGTGAGCATAAAACAGAAAATACCTGTGATTTCATTAGCTGGCTGTGACAGGACCCTGGATGCCTTATTTTTAGGTGCATAATGTTGATTAGGTGAATTGATCTCGAGTTTTCTGAGCCCTGCTTTTGGAACGTCATCCTTCAGTGTTTTAAGGAATGATAAAAGGAATTTGTTTGCTTTTGTCAGCAAAACTGAAAGACTCAGAGCCAGGTGTCATGAGGTACCAGCTAATGGGCTTCTGAATTCTTTATGTTAATGAATTGAGATAAGAGTTGGATCTGGGGAGGGGAGAGAAGGGGTTATCTTTGGACCAAACACTTTCTATGATTAGATTCTCAAAAGCAGCCTTCTAATTTCTATCAAGCTGTTGATTGTTTGCAAGGAAACTTGAAGGAAATGGGGTTTATTAATTGGTGTATTAAGAAGAAGGCTGAAGACAGCTTTACTCTTGACTCTTTAGCAGTATGGGGCCCCATCTTGAAAATGTGAGTGTTGAAATGGAGAAACTAAGCCAGTGCACTTGCAGGTTCACTCAGTTTCTGTCACTTTAGGACATTGATGGAAAGCTTCAGTACTACAGTGTGGGCTCTGTGGGGTTGCATGTTTCATCACACCCTCATATCCCTGAGCAGGAGTGTGGTTGGCTTTTAATTGTAAGAACAGGTAATGTCTGAATTATACAGTAAATAATCATGGAGTGGTTTGGGTTGGAGGGGACTTAAAGCTCATCTAGTTCCAACCCCCTGCCATGGGCAGGGACAGCTTTTACTTGATATAATAATAGTAAGAAAGATAAACAATAGAAAGTTGAGAGACAGTATTTAAAAGCTCTTGATACTTATGGAGATCATCTGTTGCTCAGAAAGTCACCACTGGGGTAGTTTGAATTCCTGTGCAGTGTTGAAATACTCTGGAGTTTGGAAGACACAGCTACGTCACCCCATTAGCAATAAGAAGTCACATCCCTCAGAGCTGGAAAGTCACCAAAAGGATAGTCTGGGATACACAAAAGATGGGGGGTTTGGAGGCTCTCCACTGGTGTTCTGCTCTCATTATCCTTGTCTTTGTCCAGAGCTTTAGATAAAAAGGTCACGCCAATTTTAATTTCATTACCTTCCTCCTCCCATTCTGGGTTATTAATGGCACCGGAGCGGATCCGGTCTCTTACCGTATCCATTGCTTTAGGGACTAGATTCCATACGAGACCAGCAGTCACAGCAGTTGGCCAGGAAAGCAAGCAAGCAAGCTTGCTCAGACTTCTCTCTCTCTTAACTAGGTTTGTAGGTATGTTAAAGCCAACCTAGCAGCGTGTTTTGCAGCGCTTCCGATTCATGAATACTTAACCCCTGACACTGCCTTTGTTCAGAAGAACATCTTGCAACTTGTGCTGTGTAATGATTTTATACCTAAAAGAGCGTTCAGAATCAGGTTTTACTGTGAGCTTATTTTTAGTAACCCAGCGTTTAATGAAAAGCACTAAACAACGTAAGGCTTTTGCAGATCATTCCCTGTGTAGGAAAGATCCCATTTTAATGTGGATTTTATGCCTTTTCTTCCTCTACCGTCTACTTTTTCCTTAACCAATGACAGGAAGATTCTTAAGGCTACTTTCTCTTTAAGGACATACTGCTTACATAAATAGCCCTTTACACCGTCTCCTCGTTTTATAATCCTAATTGTTTATCGGAAGATGGGAAATATTCCTTAGAAATGTGTTTTCCTGCTTGTGCATGCCTTGTTACTATTTCAATTATGCAGATTCTTGATGCTGTGGAAATTGGTGCCTGATGACGCCAAGGCAGCTGCACGTTGTTAGCATTGTAGGCTGTCAGATGATCATGTGGGATTCTTGCAGCATGCAACATTCAATAGGATTGAAAAAGGGCTTTTGATGCAAGGCATAGCTTTCAGAATATATTTGTGCCTTTTAGTTAGCTAATATAAAATCATAATTTATTCTCTTTAAATTTAAAATGCTGCCTCATTTTTCTTCTGGTTGGTTTCATTTTGGCTTCACTAGAAGATGCATCTGGTACATCCACGATTGAGGAGTTTTTTAATGATACTGTCGTTCAGTTCACTTACTTTTTTTCCTTTTAGAGTCCTAGCTAGCCAACAGATTACATGATCACATGTTCATTCAGTCATTCATATAGAACACAAACCACCATGCATGATTTCTTCTTCTTTCTTTTTCCTCTCTGCCTTTTTTATTCCCTTTAAGTTGCTTTGTCATGTTCTCTTTTATCATTCAGCTTAGTCTTTGTCTTCCCCTCGCTACTATTTGTTCTTTATTTTCCCATGCTTGCTTACTGCAATATTATTTGATTAACGGGCTGTGATGATGATGAACCTGCACACTGGAGGAGCAGCTACTACAGTGGTGATGAAGGGATGTAATAATGGTCGCTATCCTCGGAATTCTCTCTACAGTGACTGCATAATAGAAGAAAAGGCAGTGGTCCTGCAGAAAAAAGACAATGAAGGATTTGGATTTGTGCTCAGAGGGGCAAAAGGTATGTGCTTCTGTGTGTGTTTGTGTGTGTGTGTGTGTGATGTGCACTGGCATGAAGAAATTTATACATCTCGGAATATAAGCAGGAATTATTCTTGGTGCACTTGGTTGCTAGACAACAGGATTCTCTGTGTGCTGTACTACTCAGACGGATTTTAGTGGCTTCTGTCTGAAGCAGTTTGCATTTTTACATAGGAGAAGCACTGTATAATTGTTTGGGGGGGAGAAAGTTTTGTCTGTATTTTTATTGTGTTGGTACATGTAATATTTTGTCCTTAATGTGTTCTGTTGTGCAGTTTACCTAACTATGGGAAACCTGCTTTCCTTAAAAACCTGCTTCTTTATTTCAAATGTCAGTCTGTTTAAATAGGTCTGCGAATAGAAATAGACAAGAGAGTGATGTTTTGTTTAAAATAGGTGTGGATCTTCTGCAAGGTGACATTGGTGCAGTTTTAGTATGAAAATATGATCTTTTTTTATATCTTTAGAAGCTGCACGTATGTTGCATGGCCTGTAGTGTGCTCATTTGAAAAGCTGTTCATATGTTAAGCTGCATGTTACTTTTCTGTAGACTAAAACCTAGAATAATGGCATTCTTCAGAGTTAAAAAAAGCATTCTATTTAATGCTTTGCTTTTTAACTTTCAGTCCAGTTTGCTCCTTTTGTATTTAAAAAACATACATATGATGGTATGTCCCATCTCTTGCTCCCCCTCATTTTACATGGGTTCTCCCTTGCCTTGCTTGAGCATGAAAATTATTCCACATCTTCATTCCTGGGACATCATTTTTGCTCTCCCCTATTCCCCCCCACCCCCCTCCCAAACCATAGATTTTCAGTGTCATAAAAGCTTCTCTAATTTTAGCTAAACAAACATGTTGGGAGTTGTGTTAGGAAAGGCACCTTTTAGCTAACCCACTGGCAGGAGTTGTCTGTGCATTGAGCAGAGGTTACTCCCTCTGTGTAAGCCCAGCAATTTTGCCCAGATTTTCTCTGTAACAGTGAGGGCACCTCAGGTGAAATACCCAAGGACTTTTCTGCTTGTATGTGTACGTGACAGAGAGAAAGGGAGGGCTGTTACAGGGCCTGCTGTGCCTCCTTGCCTAAAAAGTGATTCCTTCTGTTATCTTCTTTGTAATATACCTCTAAATCTAGAAGAAAGAATCAGGTTGGTCTTTTGCATCCCTTCCCACCCACCCCATTCCCCCCCTGGTTTGGCCAGATGCTCTCTTCTGGCTATGGTACATCATTTACTTTCAGCTGGATGTTGCCAGAGTTACAAGCATTTTGCTAGGCATACAAAGGCTTACTTAAAGTAATCCTGAATATCCTGGAATACTCAGAATCCAGCTCTTGCCTCATACAGCTTGATTTGGTTTGTGTCAGTAAAGAAGCATGTCTTTTTCTCTCTGAATGGAAGACCTGTGGATTGCTATTGCAGAGAGATTGCACTTTATGCCCAGCATCTTGATATCCTCTGAGGCAGAGCCCTCTTACTTTAAGCACCCTCCATTTTTTAACCATAAATTCCAATGGCCAGTAATAGGCCTTTACTCAAGTGGTATTTACAAGCACTCCATAACTTTCTTTTTTTAATGTGGTGTTTATTTTTAAAGCTGACACACCAATTGAAGAATTCACCCCAACTCCAGCCTTTCCTGCTTTGCAGTACTTGGAATCGGTGGATGAAGGGGGAGTAGCATGGCAAGCTGGCCTGAGAACTGGAGACTTTTTGATCGAGGTAGGAGATCCTGCAATTTGATTCTCAGTGTTCTGTTGGGGAAATAGTGATGTTCCCTTTGTTGGGAAAAAGCGTGTGATGCTTCTGAAAAGCAAGGGCAGTGGAGTGACACCAGTGATGTACTTCACTTGATCTATATTAAAATCTCGTGCCGCATTTAGGAAAGCATTTAGAAAAGAACCATGTTCAGGTTGGCTGGGAATTCTCAATCTGTTCTTTTTGTTCTTTGGGAACACGCTATCAGAGACATTTGGGAGGTTTTATTCTTCTTTGCATGATAGATGTCAGTATTTATTGTAGGCTATCAGTTCTGTGGTTTTGCAGTCACCAAAATAGATGACTTTTTATGCAACTGTTTCTGCAATCAGAAATATCAGTGGTCTAGTGCTGGTTTGAAACCATGGAGAGTAAAGCAAATCACTTTGGTTTGAAATGAGATATTTCCAACAGTGCACTATAAATACAATCACAAAAAAATAAGCAATGGATGTTATTGCAATAGAAATTACTTTATAAAAAGAGTATATTTAAATACGCTTTTCAGTCACACTGCAAATGTCTTCATGTTGTCTATTTTGGAGGATTTTGGGTTGGTATTTTAGGTTTTGGTGCAATAGTTGGTACTCCTCCTTAGTGTTACTGGGCAGTTTGCAACAAAAGCAGGATTTGGGATTGACTTCCTCTTCCCTCCACAACCTTTTCACGACCAGCAAAGCGATGCTGTGATCCTGTGGAACTGTCTATTTGAAAATAGGTCCCTCGGGATGGATCAACCAAATCTTGTCTCTGAGAGCTTTTGATTTGATTTTAGTTTTTCTTCGTCAGGTGCACATGTGCTCTGTTAAAGTGTTTACTGGTGCCACAACATTTATTTCTGCAGAGCTGGCCTTTACATTTGGGAGAGGATGTAATATGCAGCTTTTATTTGTTGTGTGCATTGAACTCCCATGGTGATTGAATTTAAATAGTTACACAGCTTCTTCATATTGTGACAAGTGAAAGAACAGGCTTTGCAGACTTCTCATGTAAATGGAGGTGCATTTTTAGCTGGGTCTTCTAAGTACATTTTTCTTACTGTTTCTTAAGAATAAGCATTTAGCAAACTGTTAAGCAATAGCTTACAAATCGTGCTGCTTTGGACTCTGTGCAGGGATGCTTTCGAACTACGGTTATTGGTGTTAGGTGAGGGGTTTACACAATGCTTTATTTTTAGAAGTTGATTCCTTGTTAGGCTTTTCACCAGTAGGAAGTATGAATAGTCTGTACTGGCTGATTTTGCAGATGGATTTGATGGTGAATAATGTGTAATGTAATGGAGAGGATTACAGGATGATAACTACGCGTATGGATTTTTTAAAGATCTCTAAAGGGATGCGCGGGGTCCGGGTAGCTGATTTGGCACAAAGCTGTGCTGGGTTTCTGGCAAATGACAGAAGAATTATAATTAATTGTATAGACATTTTACTCCAAGCCTTAGCTTAGAAAAGTAGTTAAACATGCCCATGCGTTGCTGAATGAAGACATTGATCCATATTCTACACAGTCCAGCATATTTGTAATTAACTCCGAAAGAAGCAGTTGTTAAATGCAAATCAAATCCATTTTTGCGTCATTTATGTTCATCAGGGTTATTCTGTTCTGAATTTTGCAATTGATTTAAGAGGGTATCGTGATCCTGAGGAATCACAACTTTGCTGTGGTTGAAGACTTTATGTTGGAGAAGGGCAGGGGTTTTCTGGCTTATGAACTATACGTGCAGTGCACAAGACCAGCAATCAAAAGCCATCTTAGAAGATGCTTACTCTGATGCAAAAGATACTAGTGCTCAAACAGAAATGAGTGGTTCACCTGCACTTGTAGGAATACAAGCTACTTTATTTCTTGTGTGGAACCAAGGAGAGTTAAATGTACTACACACTGTAGTGAGTGGTTGTCACAACTGGTGGAGTTAGTCTGTCTCACTGTGAAATGATTTCTCCCATGACTCTGAAGTTTCTGCTGCTGTGTGTAAGTGCCACCTCAACCATTTGTAAGTAATACAATGCATTTATCATAAATGTCACATGAATAATAAAATAGTTAATGGGCAACTAGGATCCTAATTAGTCCCATTTATAACACTTGAGGCAAGCATCAGGCTTTAGGGAAGTGAGAAACCAGTTTGGCAGAGGGCAGAATGCAAGGCAGAGCAGATGTCTTTCTCTTGCTTGAAGAGATTTGGTGGCTTGGGGGCATGGAGATACAGGGAACCTCACTGTGGAAAGACAGATTTGACAGGAAGATAGATCCTTTCTTTGGAAGCAGGATCGGTCAGGAGGGTAGCTGAAGAGAAGGCATCATTTTTTATGTGTAATTATGGTCTCTGGATCTTCTGAAGGGAGTAAGATTTCACTGTCAGCTACTGAGCAGACTGAAGTAGTTGAATATTGCAGGTGACGTGTTAAGCAGAACAAATAAAAGATCAGTTCAGAAAAGGAAGAAAAGTTGTTTTGCTTGAGCAGGTAAACAGAGTGGATGTGAGCTGGAACAGGGTCGGCACTGTATCATTTGACTGAGCTTTTATCAAGCTTACACTGATTTGTCCAACCCCTACAATTAATTTTAACATGAGATTTCAGAGATTACTGTTAAACTTGCCCCTGGAAACAGCATTCACAGGCTTTTCATTGACATTTCTGACAATACGTGGTTTTTCTCCTTGCTTCAAACTCGGTCATATTTTTTGTGGTAAGAATTGCAGTGTGGTGTGGCTTTTCTGGATAGAACACTGGAAAAATGTATGGAAAAGCACATGAGCAGTTTTAGAGGTGAAACAGAGACAGCTGTCATTGAATGTGGGGTTTCATAAGCATTTTAGTGGTTGCTAATTCATATGATTTTTCTTCACTTTGTTCAACAATCAGAAATGGAGTATGGTTACGATTTGGTTGTTACATCTCAAGAGATGGTGTAGCTCACCTTACCTGCTGTTTTTCACTGCTTTAGTTGGTGTTTACTTGAATCTTGGTATCTGCCCAATTAAAAAGGCAGATAAAAGTAAAGCAACACATTAGGGCAAGTGCTATCCAACCTGAAACTTTCTGTTTCCTGTAGACTCTAAAATCTACAACTCTCCCTAATGTAACCCCAGTTCTGAAGCCATTGGAGGTGGCTGGTAATTTGTCAGAGTGACTGGATGTCTATAGTACAATATATGAGTTTGAAACTGCTTAATCAGAACAAATTGACCCATTCACTGATTTGATTTGTTACTTTCTTGTTTGCAAGAAAGAAATGTAGCGGCTCTGACTCTAAATCTCTTATATATGAAGAATCTTTATGTGCCTAACCCTTTGTCACCTTCATTCAGGTGTAGTAGTTGAACTAATAGAAGCATAAATAGAGGGACCACCAAATACTAATGTTCAGGAGTGCTGCCTTAAAACAGGATGTAAAGAATTCATTACGTTGGGGTTGTTTCCTATTGAGATTTCCTTTGATGACTTATTCCAGTATAACCATGTTTGAATAAAGAGATCCATTAAAGTGGAACAGGTTTTTTAACTCAGAATAGTCTTTGGTTTGGTTTAGTATAGTAGGATATAGACTTATACGTTATAACCTGGTGGATTATTAACTATTTATTACTGTAATACTCATGAATGTGTTGTATGATGTGGTACATGGGGAGTTTTCATCTGCCACAGGGCATATCTCATACCAAACAATAATGTTATAATATCAATACTTAGAGAGTGAAACGAATTCTGCAGTATTTTGCCAGAATAATGCGTTTTTGCTCTAAATGAGGCATTGCAGTTTGCATTATTGAGCCATAAAACACTTATTTTTCCAGATAAATGGGAATGTGATTGTTTTCAGAATAGCATGGCTGCTTATTTACATGTCAGTTGGAATGTAAGCTAGATAGAACCAGTGTATTACCCATTAATAAACAAAACAAGGCACAATTCAAGGTTTGATTTGAGGATCAAACCCAGAGGTGGTAATAGAAGAAACCTTGTCATTTTGGCACAGAACAGTTCAGTTGGTACTTGTACTAAAACATGCAAAGTGGTCTGCAGAATAGCTGCCTGTATTTCTTTATCCTCAAAAGCATGTAGAATTTACTACTACAAATATTCCTTTAAGTAGTGATAGGTGGAAAATAGACATCACTTTCTTACAGCATTGTTTTATCATTGTGATATCACTGTCCTCTGGCTGTCTGTAGGAAGCAGCAAGGAGCTTTTAGGGAGACATCTAAAATAATTGGAATGGGGTTTTTTTAGACAAATACGCACAGGTAACTTTAGATTCATATTTAGCAATAGGTTAGACTTTATTATTTTTATTCCAGTAAATAACTTTCTGCAGACTTTAAAACTGATTTGCAAAGCAAGTTCTTAACTTTATTGCTCTAACTTTGACTATAGTCTGTAGGAATGGTTTTGGCAAGCACAGCAATGTTACGTCTTACATTTGTATTCAATGGCTGGATGAATTAGTGGCTTTACAAAGCCATCTGTTACTGATTTAGATCTTTTTAAGAAAAGAGAAAACTTCCCATCTTTAGATAATTTTCGTTAATTACCGTGTAACTGGGTTTTCTCCTGTTTCTAGTGTGAGGTTCTCTAGCTTCTGCCACCAGGTATAAATCTAAATCATGTTTCTTTCAGACAGCTACATGGGGACCAGGATATTTTTTCCCTCTTGCAAATGAACTGAGGCTTTGTTAGTGGCTTTTGTACTAATGTGGATTATCATATTTGTTGCCAATTTGGCTCCTGCCCCTGCTTTGAGCTTCCCCTTTTGCCTGTCCAGCAGGAGAACGGCCGGGCTCAGTGCAGCGCGCTCTGAGCTGAACTGTTCCTAGATAGCACCAAGTTTAGGCTTTGGCTCAGCTGAACCAACAATACTCTTGCCTATTTTGAATGATGAGAGATTTACCAAAACTGTCACCATACTGGAGTGTGTCAGCATGTGTCTATATAAATATATTTAATATATGCTGAAAGTTT